TGCACCATTGAAACGGGGAAGTTACGTGGAATGAAGTTAACTTTGGAATCTTCTTTGGGAGAGTTCCAGAATCTGATTTAGGGAGAATACCCCTTTTGCATATTTTTTGGATGTTGAGTGTATTCCTCTCCCTTTGTTTTTATGGCAACTCATTGCGAGGGAAGACAAAATAAAGAGGCAAGAAGAGATGTGGTTTGTTGTTAAAGGAGCTCTTGTCAAGTACTCGTTGATGGAACTTTCCCTTATTAGTGGCCTAAACTGCTCTCAGATGAACACCGGCTTTGAATCATCAAATGATTTGACCTCAGCCAAGAATGATTTTATTCGAGCACACTTTCCTCTAGCAAGGAAGAGAAAGAAACCTGATGCAGTTACATATCAGATGGTTGTGCAGCATTTCCAGAACATGTGTAAAAACTTGGATGGTGAAAAGAATGAAAGCCAAGAGATGGAGGTTGTGAAAATGGCCACACTTTTATTTATTGTTGTTATTCTGTTAGGTCCTGTTGATCGCTACAAGTCCGTTATACCAGATTGGATACTGGACATGAGTGGATAGTGGAGAGCAGCTAAAGATTTCCTATGGGGAACCTGGGTATTTATGGATTCCTTGGGGTCACTGAAGAAGGACCTAGCTGCTAAGGCCAAATTAGTGGGAAGTGGGGCCTCATCAACAATGTATTACACTCGTTTCCTGCTTTCTATTGGGATAATAAACTTTTCAATTATAATAATTGTTTTGCTGATTTATAATGTGATCTCATTGAAACTTTGAATATGAAAAGATCCTTTTCTTTGAGAGTTGCTTGGGGATTACAAGCAAGATTACAACAAAAAGACAACAAACATCCCAGCTAGGCCAAGAATCTCCCTTTGAGGTGAAATTACAATCAAGAAGAAAATCACCCACACACATATGGATGATTACATTGGTGATCTGCAATTACATATTACTAGTCAAATTTGATTAAGAATTCAAGATAATGAATTGTCATTGTTTTGGTTGCAGGCTGTATAGAGCATTCTTTCTCCTAACAAGTTTGAGGCTACTATAGAGTGGTTTATGATCTTCCATCCTCTACGGACCACATCACACCCTGACTTGGATGCATTTTTTGACAAACTAAGATGGTAAATGGGATGTCCACATTTCGGTAGGAAGAGAAAAGCTTGACATGCTATGAAGTGCTATATTTCTATTGAGCCAAATGAGCAGATCATCTCCTCTCCCCAAGCATCACAGAGCCTTAGAGACTCTTTTTCTAGAGCCTCTCTTTCCAACATCCCATATCCCTTCCTCCACTATGCCTTCATCCAATATGTTGCAAAATATCGTTGACCCATTGTCAAAGAAAATAGATAGCATTGCAACAAAAAAAATAGGTTTGAAGTACTGGAAAAACTTCGATGCTCTAGCAACGAAAATAAGGCAATCTACTGAACGAGATGTTACTCAAGAAGTCGAAGAACAAAAGAATACTATGGATGAGGTATTTTGAACATTTAATATTCTAGTCAAAACCTTCGAAACGTCATAGAATAAATATAGGCTTGGATCTAATCATTTTTATAATAAAATCTGAAGGTTACTATATCAGCGTCAGCCGAAGAGCCAAAGAAGACTCTATTCGACCATATGAGTTAATTTACTATATGACATATGTAGTTAGATCCATTTTGTTTACTATTAAATATGTAAGATGTTTACATTTGAAAGTGCATGCACATTCAGTCGAAGCACAAAACGAGACAATCATGGATTTTTTTCCAGAGGGAGAGCCAATCATTCCTTCATCATTTGAAGAGTTTTTGGGTTTAATGCAGCCATTTCGTTTTGTCTAATCAATTTGTCAAATGAAATCAGAGTATCAGAAAATCATTTAATCTATCATACTCTTTAGGTTACAACAATGCAAGATATTTTCAAAGTTGCTCGGGAAATCAACCAGGAAAATGAGAATCCACCTCCAAGTGTTTCAAATTCTGTTTTGGATTTGGAAAACTAAGTGGTGTGTATGAAAGTCTAGATGTGAATTTTTATTGAGAGCGTGTACTTACAATTAAGTAAACTGTTTTTGAACTTGTCTGTATGTTGATTCTCCCCAAAAGACCATGGGAACCGATGTTGTTGCTGCACTGACGAATCCTGTTGAGCTCTTTTTACCGAGAAATGTGTAATATCACATTTTCATATCATCTTTGAAGAGGGGTTTAACGGTTCAAATAGAGTCGAAATAATTAATTTTTTATTTTAGGATTAGAGATTAAGGAAAAAGTTTGCCGAATACAGAACGGCATTTACTGCAGTCGGGAGGAAAAAAGAGAAAGCAAAGAATTTATTAATTAAGGAACCAAGTAAGGCAGAGATTTTGGAATTTTAGAGCTTCATTAATGAAGCTATTCAAGCTGACCGCTATGTAGAACGCTACCTCAATTGGCATAAGGATGATGAAGGGTTTGTCAAAATGTGGTGGACTGATCTGCTCACTCTAGGTTTTTGGATAGCGGATATTGTAAGTTACATTTAGCTTCTTTACATAAGTATAAAACCAATACTTAACTGTTTGGTTTTCTAATAACATATTGTTGTTTGTTAGCCAGCATCTGGAAGAGTACATCTACATCTTGCGAATGCGCATTTGTATTGACGGTGGTGACTCCGTCATTGCACCTTTTGAATTTACTTCCAACTTGGCATCTTATGTGCAAGACAAAGATCAATTTCTTGTCATGTTTGAAAGACTTGAGCAGGTAATTAATGGTTCATACAGTGAGCAGGTAATTCGTCATTGCATTTTTGTTAAGGCTAATTTTGAAAGGGGTTGCCTCGTCATGCTTGACTCACTTAGCCGGTTAGCGACGAATGAAGAACTGCGTAAACTTCTGGATGAAGATCTTAAGGGATTTCTAGGCATTACACGCATGACAGGTTTTAGCAAATACGACTATATAAATAAGCCCGTGTGGGATTTATAACGACCTCTTGTACCCCAACGTAAAACAGCGATGCGGCATCTTCTTACTAAAAATGTTAGAGTTAGGAGCGCAAAACAAAGATATGAAATCTTTAGAAAATATGACAAATGAAAAGATGGCAGACATTCGTTTAGAAATTGCATATTACATATTAAAAGAGTACCATTGTAGAGACTGAAAATAACCAAAGTCGAAACATATATTTTTATTTATTTTTTTGGATATTGCCTATAATTTTATTATTGAATGGAATTGCATGGAATTACATGTAAATATTAAAAGTATAGTGAACTACATTATTAAAACGGTATGGAATTACATTTTTAAAAGTGTACATATAATTGAATTAAAGTAAACTACTACAAAAACAACCAAATAAATCGCCCTATTTGCATCAGTCAGCGGAATAAACGATTTAAAAGCTAAAAAGATTCACCAACCACTTAGCATTTAAATCGATTATTCGTAATAACTAATGCAAAAGGTTATTTGCATCGGTTATTAGGAATAACCAATTTAACATCCATTTGATATAATTTCATATTCCAGATGCATGCCATACTGATGAGTATTTGGATTGATTCAAGTCTTGCGACAGGTGCAAAGGTTTCTTCAAAGTCAACTCCTTCAACCTGTGTATATCCCTGAGCAACTACCCTTGCTTTGTTCCTAATCACTTTGCCTTCCTCATTAGTTTTGTTGCGGAATACCCACTTGGTGCCAATAATGTTCACACCTTCAGGTTTTGGAACGAGTTCCCATACCTGATTTCGTTCAAACTGTGCCAGCTCCTCTTGCATTGTGTTTATCCATGCTTCGTCTGTGAGGGCCTCCTTGACATTTTTGGGTTTGACTGATGAGGTGTAGAAAGCATTTATCGTCTCAATATAGTCAATCTTCTTTTTTCTGGTACGCATGCCTTCATATGGATCTCCAATCACATTTTCAATAGGGTGATTCTTCTGAATGTGCGTGGGCACTCGAACTTCTTCTGGTTGGCTTATTTGTGGTTCTGCATCAGTTTGATCTTCTGTGTCTGATAGTGATGAACTTTCTTCAGTTTGCTTAACAGCAGGTGGTTCATCATCTCTTGTGTCACTGTGATCCTTCCAGAGTGCTTTGTCATCCACTATGACATTGATGGATTCCATGATAGTTCTGGTGCGTTTGTTGAATACTCTGAAAGCTTTGCTGTTTGGTGAGTATCCCACAAATATGGCTTCATCACTTTTTGCATCAAATTTGCTTTTGTGCTCTCGATCTCGAAGAATAAAGCATTTTGCTCCAAAAATGTGGAAGTGTCCCACGTTTGGGGTTTGCCCTTTCCTTAATTCATACGGTGTTGCTTGAGTTCCATTTCTTATGTACACACGATTTATTGTGTAGCAAGCCGTGTGTACTGCTTCGGCCAAAAGATTCTCAGGTAATCGTTGTGTATGGAGCATTGTTCTCGCCATTTCTTGCACATGTCTATTCCTTCTTTCTGCTACTCCATTTTGTTGTGGGGTTTTTGGTGCTGAGAATTCATGAGATATTCCTTCTTCATCACAGTAGTTACTGAAGGGTTGACTATCAAATTCCCCTCCGTGATCACTTCTTACTCGTATGACTTTCTTTATCTTTGACTGTTTCTCGTTTTGAACTTTGTTGCAAAGTGTAGCAAAGGTATATAGTGCATCATCCTTATGTCTTAAAAAGCATACCCATGTATATCTTGTGAAGTCATCAACCACCATGAGTACGAATCTCTTGCCTCCAATACTCTCTGTCTTCATGGGTCCAAAGAGATCTATATGCAGCAGCTCCAAGGGATATTTCGTAGATTGGAAAACCTTGACTGGATGAGTTTTGTGTATTTGTTTTCCCTTTTGACGTGGCCCGCATACTTCTGTCTCCTTTTTGATGATTTTTGGTAACCCCCTCATAGCTCCTGAATTTGATAGAGTTACGAGATCTTTGTAGTTCAGATGCCCAGGCGATAAGGCCACAACTTTGCATCTTTTTCACTCGCCGAGAAACACAGTACATTTGGTGTTATTTTATAGCAATTATATGTTGTTCTGTCACCTTCAAGCACCACCTGTTTGCTTCTGTCTCTTACTCTGCACTTTTGCTGTGTGAAAAATACTTCAAGCCCTTGATCGCATATCTGGCTTATGCTGAGCAGATTTACCTGTAAGCCTTGGACCAACCATACATTTTTGATAGATGGTAGTCATGATACATTAAGTGTGCCACCACCAAATCGAACACTTCCTTGTTCATTTGCCTTGATGTTCATGAGATTTTCTTTGTCACCGGTCATATGATGCGAACATCCGTTATCGAGGAGCCATTGATTTGGAGTGACTCTATAGCAAGTGTTAGCCACCGAGGCATATTGTTTTGGTATCCAGATTTGTTTGTACCTTTTTGATGTCATCAGCTTACTCCATCTTTTGGCACACTGACGTTGTATATGTCCCCAATTATTACAGTTGTAGCATCTGTAATGGTGATAGGGATTCTTGTGTGCAAGTGATTGATGATTTCTTTTGACTTGATGTGTGTTAGCAGATGTTGATCCTTCAGTTCCTTTAACGAACTTGACTTCAAGATATTGTGGCGTCTTTCCTTTGTCTGTATATCCAATGCAAGTCATGTCTCCAGGCGGCTTTGCCATGATTGAATGATGATCTAGCACATCTGCTCCAGCCACCTTAATCCATTTTTGATAGGATTTCAGTTGATTTAACTTGAATAATAAGTCTGATTTTTCTCCTTCAAGTTCTTCAATTTTACTGGTAAGTCCTTCAATCCTTTCTTTTAATGCATTAACTTCTGAGAGCAGCCTGTTTTTGTCTGTGATATTCCTTTTGTTCACCATCAGGAGCTCTGACCATTTTTCTTGCAGGTCCTCTAGTTGTTCTACAAGGCTCTCTTCATCTCCTGGATAAATACTAGCAACGAATGCACAGTTGGACTCTTCATAATCACTCTGATCTTCAGTTTCTTCATCACTCCATGTTGCTTTGAATGTTTGTCTCTTTTTCTTTAGGTTATTTGCACACTCAGGCTGGATATGCCCATATCCACCACATTCAAAGCACTGTGGCCCTTTTTTCTTCGTATAGTTAGGGTTTTCTGTGTATTTTGTTTCTCTATACTTGGCATCTTTTGGTGAGAGTCCCTTAGAGGTGCCTTCAAGTCTTTGATTTGCTTTCTTCTGAACCCATTGTTTCTTGAATTGCCATGTGAAAAGGGATAACTGCTCTTGGAAATCTTCATCGAGTGACCAATCACGTTCACTGTCATCTTCTACCTCAGTACTGGGAAACGCTGTCTGCCTATCAGGTTTACACCGTTTGCTGTCTTCTGCCATGTCTAGTTTGATTGATTCCAGTATTCTCATAAGTGCGTCGAGAGTTATGTTTTTGATGTTGTGGGAACGTCTAACTGCTTTTACGTCCATTTCATATTCTTTAGGAAGTGACCTTAGCACCTTGAGTACCAGCTTGTTTTCTGGAATGGATTCATTTAGACGTGCAGCCTGATTTGCAATGTCCCTAACTCTCCCATGAAATTCAGTGATCTTCTCTTTTTCATCCATGCGCAGATTTTCATATTGAGTCATCAGAATTTGATATTTTGCAGTCTTTACTTCCTCATCTCCCTCATGTGTGACTTCAAGAATATCCCAAGCTTCTTTGGCATTGTTACAGTTTGAGATGAGCTTGTACTGAGTAGAGTCCACTGCTCCAAAGATTGCATTCAAAGCTTTGTCATTATACTCATCAGCAATGGCTTCTGTTCTGCTATATTCTTCAAATGGTTTGATTCTTGATGTAGTCAGATCATTAGAAAATTTGTGAGGTTCAGACCACCCAGTTTCCACGCTTCTCCAGACTCCACCTCCAAGGGATTTAAGAAAGGCCCTCATCCTGCCCTTCCAGAAGTTGTAGTTGTGTCCACGCAATAAAGGTGGTCTCTGAACATTTGCTCCTTCTTCCATGTCTCACATGATGTGATCGATAGCTAGTAAATTAAGCTATGCGGGCTCTGATACCAATTGAAATCTCCACACCCATAGCACAGTGTATAAACCAGATAAACTCACACTTAACACGAAAAGAATATTGTTGGAAATTGTGTTGTAGCTCAACTACTAGATTTCACAGAATGCTACAACACCTTTTCTGACACCAGTTCAAACACACACCAAAGTAAGTAAATACATAGAGATTTGTTTACGCAGTTCGTAGCCAACTCTCCTACGTCTGCGAGGCCCACATCCGTGTAATAGCCTTTCCACTAGATCATCATAAGAATTACACAATCAAACTTAACAGACCCTTCTATTGAACAGATTTGTCTACTTACGTGATCAGACACCAAACTCTGTTTGTGTCACTCCAGGCCTATTACACCTTCTCGTTGCTCTGCAATAAGGATGTGTCTTGACCTTTGCTCAGCCTTCCCAGATTCACCAGCTGAACAAAACTTCAGAGAAGATCCACGGCTGATCTTCTCATTGTGACCTCACGTATTAGGGGTGAGCATGGTACGGTATGGTACGGTATTTAGCCCGTACCGATACCATACCAAATATTTCGGTTCGGTATGGGATTTTACACTGTACCGATCCCGATCCCGACATATCGGTTCGGTATGGTTCGGGATGGTTCGGTATCGGTTTCGGTACAAATCGGGATGAATATACATACCTACTTTACACCTTAAAGTTTAACAATGTCCCCTTATTTTTGAAAATTAAAAGTGAATTTAAATAAAAAAAACGTGAAAAATTAAAAAAATGAATATTTAAATGCAAGGGATGCATATCAAAACATAGTTTATATTTCACAAACTAAAAAAATGAACGACAACAAAGGGTTTTTCGAATCTTCGTGAATACTTTTATGTTTATACACAAAAACTAAAACTCAAATAAAAGTATAACTTACACATGATAAAACTTGAACCAATATTTTTTAAAAAATTACTCCGTATTATTTAGTGAAGGAATATGAAAAATATTACTCCGGGTTATTATTTTTTATAATATTTTAGTATATATGTTCGGTTCGGGATTTTCGGTATGGTACGTCACCTCGTACCGTTCCCAAATACCGTACCGACCATTCGGTTCGGTGCGGTTCGGTTTCTTCTCGGTACTTTTTCGGTTCGGTATTTTTCGGTTCGGTATTCTCGGTATTTTCGGGAAATTTCGGTATCGGTTCGGTACTTGCTCACCCCTATCACGTATATTGTATATGATAAGCTCTTCTCTGTGATGGATGAACGCTGAGTTTATTCTTTTTTGTTAGCCTGATATCTCGTCGTCTTTCTCTCATATCAAACCATCTGTTGAACCCCTCATTTATATATGGTCTTGCATAGGGTGTAACCCTAACCAAAAGTCCATAGGACTCTTGCGCACACCTACGTCAACAAAGTCCAGTATGAGTATTCAGGCGGGCAGATTCCTTGACAGAAAAGAAGTCCTTCTTTGAGCTAATGACTTCCGGCGTAGCATCCTAGTTGTAACAGGGTGACATGCAGGATGACCAATACTACTAACACAAGGACACTACATCTACGATATTCTAGTGGTTGTGTATTGTCAAAAATAATGCCAACTCATATAATACATATTATATAACTAACAAACAAGTGATCGATGTATATGTTTACTTCTTTTGGTTTGTTTTGTTTAATTTGGTTTTGTGAATATAATTGTGTTGTTGTACATCATAGTTTCACTTTTTTAGAACCTTTTGGGCATCAATCCAAAACTTTTTATTTTTTTGTCGTCGTAAATGAATCTTACCCAACAAAATCTAAATTCTTTGAATATAACATCTTTTAGGACCGAACCTTAATTTAAAAAATTTATTCATGATAATAGTGTTTAATAAATGAGCACATGGTAATAATTTTTTGATAAACAAAAGTTAATTGAACTTTTGAAAATAAATGTGCAATAAACTTGAAAGTTCTCTTTTGGTGGCAATAAGTAAAAAGAAAGTGATGATTAAAATTTGCTTGAACATTTTATTTTTTATAACGCCTAATATTGATGACGTACCTTCATTTGACCAAAAAGTAAAGTTGGTGTATTGAATTGAAAAAAAACAAAAGTTGTGTTAGAAATGATAAGTTATCCAAAGGTTGTGCTTGGAATTTTTTCTAAAATAAAACATTAATTAAGGTACATTTAAGGTACATGAAGCCATGTCCAAAAATGTATTTTTGCTACAAACATCTATTTATGAATTGTTAAGTTTACCAAACAATTTTTATTTAACAGCTAATACAATTTGCCGATCAAAATAGCTAATTCAATTAGTCATTCAAATAAGCCCATACAAACAGTTAATCGCCAACATTTTCTTACAGTTATCTGCTAACTCCTTACGGTTTTTCCAATTTTCAATACTAAGCACTATTAAAACGCTGAAAGGGTACTTTAGTTTTTGTTTGCTCCTCAATTCAATGATATATCGATGATGAAGATGGCTAATTTAAGGGTGTATACATTATTTGTTTCAGTCATACTCCCTTCGTAGTGTAATAATGTTCTATATTTTCTTTCTCTTATACTTTGTATACCAAAAAAATGTTATATTTTTCACTTTTGGAAAAAAAATTTGTTGTCATTACTCCCCCCGTCCCAAATATCATTTCTATTCACTATTCTGTACCCTAGATAACTTTATTTTTCACTTTTGGAAAAAAAATTTGTTATTATTACTCCCCCTGTCCCAAATATCATTTCTCATCACTATTCTGTACCCTATATAACTTTAGTTTGTTGAGTTTGTTCCCACATTTTCATTGATCATTGTTAAATTAAAATTTTATTGTCACGTCATGTTTTGTAAGACTTTTAGTGTAGTTTTGAAAGGTGTTATATCTTTTTAATTTTATACCATTTTAAAAGTAAAATAATTTTAAAAACAATACGATTTCGGACATTGTTCAATATGAGACATGATTGTGAAATATTATTACACTTTCATCCACCAGATTTCATTTTTTCTTAATTTCCGAGTCCGCTTTATTGTAAAAAATTATTACTCCGTACTTGACAAAGAAAGTAAGAAATATATCCATAGTCTTGCTTAGTTCGGATGATATATTCATCATGATGCTTTATCTATATTTTATTATTATTACAAGTATATGTTTAAATTTTTTATATCACAAAATTTATAAATTTCTTCATATAAATTGTAAATTCACAAAAATTTATTTACAAAAAACCCAATGACTTTAAAAATATGAATAGAAATTAATGATTTTGTACCGTCTATGGACATTTTTAAAATATCCATAAATGTATGTTAAAATAGGGATAATATATTTTAAAAATATTTAAAAAAAAGTTAACTATAGACGTGCTTTTGTAGGCTTTTAAAAATATAGGGACAATCTTTGTTTCGATTCATTTTGTAGGCTTTTTAGGAAATTTTGGGAACAGTTTGGCATCCCACCCGCACCAAACACATTGTTCATGCTACAAAAGATACAAGGCATCCATAGTTAACATTTAATGTCTAGTCGAATGATAGTTGTTCATAAAATAGGTCTAATTTGTAAAGCTTAACTTGTGTACTAAGGGCCATCCAAAATAAATGAAAATCAAAAGAACAAATAATCCAACAACAAACATTCAGTTTCCAACTCTACGTGAAAGGTTCAAGAACACATTTTCTTCCCAATTCGCATTACCTGGTAACCTTGTAACTCTGAAAAGAAAAGAAGGAAATTACTTAGCAAAGATTTCAACCATTCCTGAAGTTAGAATAAAAGACTTGACCCAGTGAGTTGAGGATGTATTACCTTTACCCTCTTAAGAAGGTCCTTTGCATTGGCATCGTTCTTGAAATGGTCACGTACAGGCTGATAGATAGCACATGGAAGATGAATTAGAAAAAAACAAACTATCCAGTGAAGTCCCACAATTGGGTCTGGGGGTCCTTAATCCTACCTTAATCCATATGTTCCTCTATAGGCATAATAAAGCCCAAGACCTAAAGTTCATAGTAAAAAAACTACTAATTCTTAAAAGGCACCCAACTTAGATTACATCATCCTACTGTGTGCATCCAACATTTCAAAAGGGACTGAAAATGTTTAGAAACCCTATGAGGAAAAAAATAAGTGAGTAATACCTGTAGGATCTTGTTTAGTGCTTTAGATAGAGCGGTTTTAAGGTCATCAGGGTGCAATCCACCACATTCATAGTCAGCAACAAGTTCCTCAAAACTAATGAAAGTCCTATACACACAAACAATTACGCATTTAAAGTGGAGCAAAATGGGTGATGATCACACTTCTCATCATAAAGTTCGAAACATAACAGCAAGCATGAAAATATTACGAGTAATAAAAATCATGTTAAAAGCTAAAATGCAGTCAGTAGAAAGAAAAAACCATGTCTTACTTGTTACCGCCATTCTCTTGACTTCGCTCTACCGTAAACTCATTAAACCAGGGAAATATTATGTAATTGAGGTACTCCAGACAAGGATTTTTCTCTACCACCTTGGGTGGGCAGAATGCCCTCTTTATTTTTTTATTCACCTCTGCCTATACCATCAAAATAAAAGTCAGATGTGTGTTATGATTAGTCAATGTCATCAAGTGTGCTGACAGAAAACCAAGTGTATCAACTATGCACTACCTCGTCATCTTCCATGAAAATGGAGGATGATGCATCAGTCTTGGACATCTTCTCCTGACCCTCTTTCAAGCCAGGCAGCATGTCTGCATATCAGATTATACCAGTTAGGGCACAAAATAAAGCTTGGACAGAAACTTCTCATCTATCAAATTAAGTTTGGCGGCCCAAAATAAAGCTCGCACAAAATTTCACAATTACTCCGTATCAAATATTCAAATCAAATTTGAACATTAAAATAAAATGCCCTGGAAGCATACGATGAGACAATATGATAGGCTTGTTTTTCCTCTTTATATCTTCGGCATATTCTCTGGCAAGAACATTCACCTTTCTCTGGTCCATTCCCAATTGACAGATATCAGCCTGTTAAGAAAACGGCATGCAGTTGGTTACATAAGCAATAGACCAAGAGAGTAACCCTAGATCTAACCCTAGATCTAATTATCTCACTACTTATTTCTTATTCTTCTTCCTTCAATTTCATCGCTGTGATGAAACCAAGATTCAAGTTCATCTGAGATGACACTGTCAAGTCCTTTCTGTTCGAGGTTGACCAGATCTACCACCTCACTTGATCGTTTTGACCTGCATTTCCAGTTCTTAACTGGTTTTAGTTGTTTTTGTAAATAACTGATGACAGATGTTGTAGAAGGAACCATTTATCGTCTACTGACAGGAGGGGCTGGTAGAATAAGCGGCAACCCAGGGATGACACTAGTGCAGCCAGGAACCTAGGGACGACAGAGAAAGACTAAGAGATGACAGATAATGACTAAAGGGATTAGGCAGGGTAAATTTAGTAAAATCAATGAAATTTTTAACTTGCATAAAAATGCAAGGCAAATCAACTTGGAAAGATTAATCCTGGACGGAGGGAGTAAAACAACTAATCAAAACTTAGCTGTTAGGAGTAGCATACTAAATTTGAAGAAATTTGAAGAAAATAAGTTCAAACTGTTAACCGCATTAGGGAGTTTTTAATAAATGATGAGATGGGATGTGATCATAGTTGTCATGACGCATGGCAACAATGATGGCGATGACCCAGTTTCCTTGGGTGATGGCACAAATATGGCATCACCACAGGACACATGTCACACAACCAGTTAACTAAATTCACAAATGTATGACATAAATTCAATAAAAAATAATAATAGAGTCATTGATCTAAAATCTAAATATTTATGTTCGAAGTAAAAACACAACCATATATTCATTCCAACACACACAAAGATGCTAGTATTAAAACAAAAGTTCATTCAAACTATAGTTGATAAAAAGTTCAAACTAGCAACTCAAGCAAAACTCAAAAAGTTAATTCAAAATATAGTTGATAAAAAGGAGGCCGGAAGTTGCAGACTCGGAAAGGGTCCTGTAGTAGAGTAGCAGTGTTCCCAGGTCAGAGTCGCGCGACATGCAGCATTCCTCACATCACAAGCTTAGACTAGCAAAGAGAAGTCACGATAGTGACATTCTGCGAAGAACAGGTGAAAACAAGAAGAGCAACTGGAAAATCTTAGAGATGCTACTAAAGACCAAGAATAAAAGGGTCTTTTTTGAATTGGGCACAAATATATTGAACTGGAAAAGTTTGGGCCAAAAAAAAGAAAAGAAAAATTGGTGCACAAATGACGATGGTGCCGAAACGGTGTTGCCAAGGGAAGATCAGTTGCCAGAGGCCCAGAGCCAGATTTGTGGCAATGGGAGCCAAATCGCCAATGGTGCATTTATGGTGTGCACCATTTGCGCCATCGATAAGGATGTGATGTAACATAAACACATAATTGGCACAGTAAAAATAGTAATAACTCACAAATTTTAACCTCCCCTTTAATGTGAGAAACTTTGCATAGGCACACGCACATAATTGATCAAAATGCTTCAATATATACGCACAAAGAAATACTTTTGCTATACTAGTTTACCTTGAGGAAAAATATGTCTGCACACTGCATGCATGGGTAAAATATTTGGGCGGCAGTCAATTCATCCTGTTCAGAGCGACCCATAATTTGACCGCATCTGATCAATTTACAGGAGGGACAATCAAATACAGTTCACACCAAGTCATTACCCGTTGAAGGAAGAAAATCAGCATTGAATACCTTACCTCAATATTCTAGGAAGTGTATTTCTCCGTGCAATGTCCATAACAAGTGGCCAGTACTCATGAGCTCTAGAATTGATTTCTTCAGAGGACCATACAAACTCAACATTACCACTCTCAACCTTCATTCCCGCAGCTTTCCATATCTCAATCAAATACTGACCAACAACATGAATTTTCTTCAAGTCACCACCCATCTTGTTGTTTAGCTGAGCAAACCAATCTGCAATCCATATCTTTACTTTACAGCCCGATGCTACAAGCTTGTTAACATTAATCGTCTTCATAACACCCTGTTCATGGCACAATTGATGATGATATGATGAAAATCAAGTCCAAAGAAAGACATACATAATCACACATTAGTTGACTGACTTTGATGATTTGTATACTAATGACTGAGCAGCATTCAGGAAATGAAACAAACCCAAAATGTTTAGTCTGTGGTCTAGAATTCAATAGACTCTAATCTGATGGTGAACCCAAAGCTAGGGTGCTTATGGTGTTGGCTACAAAGCGCATTTGCCATGTTTCTTCATTTGAATTCTTATTATAATCCATATAAATAATACCTTCAAATAGACTAGCGTATTGGCGGGGCTAATTAGCACCAAGAATTTTGGCATTGAATCTCATTTTTTTGCCTTTTTATTAGTAGAATGTGCTTACCAGATACTCCCCATGTTTCTATTATCTGTCTAGCGTCTACGTTGAGTAAATCACAGTTCAAGAAAATTGATCAAGGTGATACTAATCATATACACTAATGTATTAGAACTAACATATATACTAATAAGATACACTAACCTGGTTTCCAGCAGTAAGGCTCTCTATAACAATAAAGAACATGTAGAAGAGGAATGGAGTGGATTTTTCCATTTAGGGTGTGAATTTAACAAATTTGGGTGAAAAGAGTGGATTGGTCATTTAGAGTGTGGATTTAGTCGTACTTGTACTCTATATATGGTTTGACCTTGTGAATAGTAAAGGAGAAGATTAAAAAGGGACTAATGGAGTAATTAAAGTATACATAGAAGAGGAAGATATCATCCCTTTTTATATGTAGTAAGAACATAACAAAATCATACACGAAAAATGCCAAGAAAGGTTCTGTAACAATCCTTCTCACGCAATAGTAATATTGAAATAGCACGAAAGAGTTCTAAACCTGAGCAATGTGCATCCGACCCGAGGGTTCAAATCCATCATAGCATATTGGTTGAGGCTTATTTGCCAACAAATTCCTCAACTCATCTTCCTGGATACACTCTTCACCTATGCTCCTAATAACATTAAATCTCTCTTCCAAATTCATCCTGATTCAAGAAAATTCACACAATTAGCTATGTATGTTCACCAAACAAAATGAAAGATAAAGAAATACAATACTTGAATAACACAAAGCCACTAACACTAGCAGCAAATCATATGTTGTGTTTTAAAGGTCTACCCTCCCCGAAATAACACCAGTATACTGCGTAGCTATAGCTAACTGGCAGAATCTTTAGTTTTAAAATTTAATGAATGCAGTTGTATCCAATATAGTACATGAAGACACGCGCAGACACATTATTTAGTACAGACCGATAATAATGAGAAAAAACAATTCCATCTTAAACAAAGGTATACAAATAATCTGAAGATTTAAGTGTGGTTCACTTCACCTTATTTTTTTTGTTTATTACCTATTTTCGTTTAAATCATTATCAAAAGAGCACCAAATGTTAAACATTTAAACAAGGAAAGGTTGTTAAAACCAGAAAGACTTAAAACCATATCCAAATATATATGCTTTATTGTTTGCTTTATTTTTTGGTCTTTATGGGAATTGGGAAGTCACAGTTGGGACATGAGAGTTGTGCATAGTACTTCAAAAGACTAACTATGTTGATAGCTGATTTGTAGCTCCCAAAAACGATATGCAAGGGGTGATAAAAGCTCATGCTCTACCATTTTTGTACAAACTGAATTCGAAATGTCATCACAATAACTGTAGAGTGACTTATGATGCACTCAAAATTAACCTCACTAGCTGACTGTTTAATAGCGAGCAAGGGCCAAATCCACAAGGAGTCTTAAAAATCTGATTGTTTAATTTCTGCAAACTGAATTACTCACACACAGGTTGAGGGATTTTGAAAATTAAAAACAATAGTGAACATTTTTAAAAAATAAGGAAAGAATAAATGAAAATGAACTTTGAATTCAATCTTCTAAAACATATGGTAATAGGAAATAGAATTGAAGTTTTTTTAAATTTGAAAACGCACTTGGTTTATTGTTGAGTTGACAAATGCTGAATTTACCAAATCATTAATCCAAAAGATAGTTTAAAATCAATGCAAGAGACAATGTTGTAGGATAATGGCACAAAAGAGCTAGCCAATTTTCCCTACCTACTCCACAAAGTCTAATAGTCTCCCTTTAGCAACAGTACTAAATCAAACCCTATTATTATATGGAGTATTTAAAAGCTTGAAACCAGCACCAAAATAGTTAAGTATAACAATGCATGCATCCTAAGTGGCATCAGCTCAAATCTTTCTCAACTGCCCTCGGGTGGTTTGTTGAGAAAGATAGGGTAGACTACGGTCGTAAAAAATGACTCTAATTGTAACCCAATCTCACATTTGGATGAATTAGAGTCTTCCTAATGCAAACTTGACTACTACCTCTAACCAGGTCTTCTTAGGGATCTTAGCCACGTTTCAACAAATATAATGACCATAATCTAAACTCAGCTTCATGATTAAAAATACATTGAAAATAAATCTCAGATTTCAAAAGGTAAAGGCAGCACTCGGTAACTCAACACCAAACTGAGCGGACTTGCCCACTCATTTTGAGAAAAAGAGAGGGGGAGAACAAACTCGTGGTGATAGCAAATAGAAACAAACTGGCAGTTCACTAAGTTCAAATCAGGTTTATTCTGATTCGAAAAACATCTTCAGATTTATAGACAATTTTAAGGCAGAATTACACTTTTTGAATACAACTTCACTTGAAGAGAATTTCAGGACTCTTTATGAACAGTTCGAACATAAGCATCAAGGTTTAGGCCAAATTGCAACAGAAACGCAACACACCTTGCTAATTTAAACGGAAACAAAGAGATTCAAGCTAGAACAAAACAGTTCCCAAATTTAATAATAAACCGAGCAGAACTCAGTTGAAGACGAACGTATTTAACATGTTTTATATCAAGCCTGACAAATAAACTTTCCAGATTCAACAAAATAAGGAGAAATTACGCTCGAGGGAAGGATCTTATCTTCAAATTCCCAATTGGGAAGAACTGTATTTGAGATAGAAATTTAAATAAATAGGATTAAAACATAATGACTTTCCCAGACCATATGTTTTTATTTCTCAATTTATGACCTTTGGTCATTATCAAGTAGTCATTATTCAACTAAATGTTCATAATTAGAGGACATTATTCTTTCCACTAGGTCATTATTAAGTCTTATTTAGGGAATAAAAAAGTTTAAGTCCTACATTAGGAAAGTCATTATGTTTTAGTCCTATTTAGTGCAAATTTCACATTTGAGATACCTACCAATTTTTTTTAGTTTTTGGGTTTTAGAATTTTCTAAAGTAAATAATTATAGAATTTGCTTGAGCAATTAAAGAACGGTAAGTCAAGTACACATATTTTATTTTATTTTTTCTGTTTTTCTTTTTTTTCAGGTTTTAGAATCACGATTATTTTAAATAATATAAATAATTACTAATTTTGCATGGGAGGTGTGTCACAAATACTCCATTAATATAAACATTTAAAATCTAAAAAACTGAAGAAAAATTGAACTTTTTCATAAAGAAAAAAGTAATGAAAGAAATATTTTATTGAACAAAACACATCCAACAAAAAGACCAATAAAGTTACATTAAGTGGTTAGATGTATATATTCATCCTCCTCTAGTAGCTCTTTGATCCATCTCACCAATGTATCAGTTACGCTTCTCCGGCCTTATTGGTGGATTGACACGAAAGTCACTGATATCTAAATTGGGTTGAAAAATATTTGGTTGAATCACTCCACTATAACACTGTAGATATTTTTGAACAGAGTATACCGGTGGGATGAGACTGTCAGCAACTTGACGTTTAGAGTGGAAAACAGCATGAACATGAACACATGGGACTGCATCGGAAGACCATCGGCCACAAGTGCAAACTCTATTCTCGCGATCCACCATGTAGCTATAGATAGAAGATGGATCTGTTCAAGAAGTATGACTAGTAACATATTGGTTGTTGCTATAGTTTGCAACAGCCCACTTTTGTTTCGTTCGCTCACGACTTCGTAAGATGTTCGTAATTTTCGGAGTGATACAAAAAAAATTTGTTGCCAATCAAGTGCAGTCTTGTGCCGTTTTGCAAAAGATTCAACCATTTTGCTGTAAGGCATACTCAAAATGGCAGTGACTGTTAACATCCGACAACCCTTAAACATATTATTAAAACTCTCTGAACTATTGGTTGTCAGAATCCCACATCTAAAACCACCATCATAAGACAGAGCCCACGCTTCACGTGAAATATCATTCAAGTAGAGATATGCCTCTTCACTGACATTTTGTATTTCTCCCATGTATCTTTGAAATTCTTGGATATTAGGTGTGCTCCCAGCGAACCACACAAAACGTTTGAGATCCGAGTTACGGAATTTTGTCATGAAGTTGCAACGGATGTTACGTAGGCAAAAGCGCTTCATTATTCTCCCTGTTCAGTTCAGGAAGATCTCTATACGCGTTGATAATTCCAACATGCCTATCCGAAATGATACATACTTGCAAAGAACGAATAACCCTTTGAACGAGCAACCTGAAAAACAATGCCCAGCTTTCACACGTTTCACACGTGCTCCCCGTCAACCTGAAATGACCCTTGTACTTTCCATACAGATGAGTATCATCCACAGTAACAAGGGGCAAACAAAATTGTAACCCTTCAATAGCGGCAGGAAATGCCCAAAATGCATACTTAAAATGCACTGCCTCAACAGGGGAAATATTAAGGTCTTGACATGTTGTAGCTTGCAATTTTCCAAACTGTCGTGCGAATCTCTTTGGCATGATGGGATCCACATGTAAACGGTAAATGACTACACCCTCGTATGACCAAAGGGTCTGCCCCACCCTACAGTAACCAGGAAGATTTTGAATGATATATGGTTCCCAAATTATCTGCATTGTAATCACACATTATAATGATATGATGCAAACATTACACTAAAAATTCTAATATTCAATATGTGTAAGATATATCGTGCATGATGTTGCAATAAACCATCAAACTGGTCTCGGAAGTAACGAACACTCTGTCGGGCAGTGCTAGAGTAAACTTTTGTAGATCTGAACCTGCATAGAAACCATTAAAGTAAAATTACCACTGTCATCCGCATTAGAACATAAACTAAATTATAGTAGATACTAATACCTAGCCCCATGAGGTTCGTCATTCGCAGGAGGTTCGTGGCGATAATTAGCCTGAATCTTCATCTCGGGTCGGATAGGCAACAAGCGTGAGCACCCTCCCTGTCGAGTTTGATCGTTCTTTCTGTAGTGCTGTGCGGCATAAACTACTGTAGAGCCGTGCCAAAATAGCTTATCCCCAGCTATATTGAGAAGTCCGATCAAAATCGTCTAGGAACAATACAAATTCGGTGGGTGCAAACCTTCCAGATGTGTCTGGAAAAAGAAGACCACCTAAATACCCATATATAACCAGAGCAATGTACTGATGGACACGAAAATCATTCCACTCGGCATTTGGTTGCAGCCCGCGGTTTAACAAAGGAACTTTTAACTGGTCTGGACGTCCAAAATGTGGCGCATTTGGCTCCCAACCTAGATTGTTACGAAAAGCTGCATCTCGTTCTTCGGGAGTCATGGGGGCGCACAAGGAATAGGAAACCCATCAATTGGCAAACCCATAAGACACTCTACGTCTTGCAAAGTTATACCCATACCTCGGGCCTCCAACGCTCCATCAATGTAGTGATGAGGCCATGATCTAATTTAATGGGATGAACTCGGTGTACGTCATAAAAGCCAGCTCTACATAGATTCCCAATAACCCTCGGGTCTGTAAAATTTGTAGTGATATGACCATCATACTGACATGGTTCTACTTTTGCATCAATATATGTCGGGTCATTCCAAATACGGAGAGAATGATGAGCCGCTTGTAAATTTAATATTTCTAAACTTTTTGGTCCAGCAAGATCTCTTTCCACTTCATCCATCACACTAATACATAAAAATGATATATTTGTTAAATACTACTTCTATCAATTTTTTTACTTTATCATATTCTCACTTATTTTCACTTTTTGAAATCATTTAATTTATAAATCGGTAGTTTAATAAGAAATAAAAATTACATATTAAAAAACTATGTTAAAAGTTCTACAAGACAAGAGGTGACATAATTACATATTAAAAAACTACATTAAAAAACTACGTTAAAAGTTCTACGTTTAATAAGAAATAAAAATCACATAATTAAACTTAAGTTATCGAGAGAAAAGAGAAAAAAATTGTAATCAAAATAGGGACGGATGGAGTATTTTGTAATTAAATAGCCAATGAAACATAAAAAAAGAGATAAGTAAAACATTACATACCTTCCAAAAGAAGAAGATCTTCTTAGACTCTTTTGAAATATTAAATGTTGTAATCTAATAGATAATTTTTTTTGCTATATTATCATACATAGGGAGTTGTAGATGGAGAAGAATAGATTAAAAAACATCCATGCTACTTAAGGAGGATACATACGGAGTATCAATGATTCATTCCACCCCACCATGTTGGGATATTTGATTAAATAATCAAAAGAAACAAAAAAAAGAAAAGAAAGAAATCAAAGGAAGATACACACATGTGATGATATCCTAAGTTACGTGTGGATTTTTTTGATGGAAGGGAATCAAATTTGTTTTGGACTCTTGTGTTTGTGGTCATTTGCAGCAGTACTTCTCTTGGCTTTAAAAGCCATGCATGGTCTTCTTAGTAAGTATACACACGGCTAAGAAAAAGAGTAGGGTTAAAAGAGAGAGGTTTGCTCAAGATATCACCAACATTGTGTAAGTGAGTGTAGGGAGTAACTGGTTTTAGTTACTCGGAAAAATACATCCGGGTGTAGGGTGTGAAAAGTCTGTTTATAAGTGTCTGATATTTAGCGCTTGTAATCAGGGAGAGTTTTTTGTGTATCGTTCTAAAAGAGTGAAGATATATTTTTTCTCTCATATTTTCTTCTCGTGTAGTGTGTTTATTTATTTTTCACGTTCTTGATATTTTAAGAGTCTTACGCGCTTAAAATCTCAACAATTGGTCTCGGAGCCAAGTTACATTTGGGACGGAGGGATTTCTAAGCGGTAAGAGAAGAAAGTCGAAGAACTTGAAAAATGGCATCAGTAAAAAGTTCGAATGTTTCCGTCGAACCTTTCGATGGATGTGGCGATTTTACTCTGTGGCAACAATGAGTAAAAAGTGTTCTTACTCGGGAAGGGACAATCAAAGCTCTGAAGGTGAAGGTTCAGAGGACAGAAAAAATGACGGATGCTGAGTGGGCCAAATACCGGAAGAATGACAAACCAGAAAAATTATGGGAAGAAGAGTGGGAGGATTTGAAGGACATGGCAACAAGTACAATATGCCTATGCCTTGCAAATAATACTCTTCGGGAGGTTCTCGGTTTGACGGACCCGGTGGATATTTGGGACAAGCTGGAGAGTCAGTACAAGTCGAAATCGTTGACAAGTAGGCTATACTTGAAGAAACGATTGTTTGGTCTACAAATGGCGGAGGAAGCTAACTTTAATGGACACCTGGATGAATTCAACAAGATTACAACAGAGTTGGAATCCATTGATGTGAAGATTGAAGAGGAGGACAAGGCGCTGCTTTTGTTGGCTTCATTGCCTTCATGTTTTGACAACATCGTGACCACGCTTTTGTTTGGAAAAGAGACCTTAAAATTTGATGAAGTAGTTGCTGCGTTGTTGATGAATGAGACTCGGCGGGGTGGCAACGGGGTATCAAATGACGGTCAAGCTTTGGTAGCAAAAGGAGCTGGTCGGGAACAAGGACGGTCTAAAGAGAGGGGCGGTGCGTCCTAACGCTTCAAATCGAGTAGTAAAAGCTTTCGGTGTTACTACTGCGATGAAGAGGGTCATTTCAAAAGGGATTGTCCAAAGAGGAGGAAAGAAAAGAAGGACGGAAAAACACCCGTGACTGCGGTTGCAGAAAGTTCGAACCAAGCAAGTGAAGAAGACTTGTTTTTGGCAACCACAAAGAGTCTAGGTAAATCGGATTGGATATTAGATTCGGGTTGTTCGTTTCACATGTGTTCAGTTAAGGAACAGTTTGATACATATCAAACTTGTGATGGGGGTGCTGTGAAGATGGCAAATTGTGCACGGAGCAAGATTGAAGGGGTCAGAACAGTGCAAGTTCGCATGTTTGATGGCGTGGTGAGAACATTAACTGGAGTGAAACATGTACCGGGTCTAAAAGGAAATTTGATTTCATTGGGGGCTTTAGATTCAAAAGGCTGCCGAATTTTTGCTCAAGGTGGAGTGTTAAAAATTTCAAGCGGAGCAATGGTGGTAGCAAAAGGAGTTTTGTCAAAGGGCTTGTATAAACTTGTTGGAAAAGATTTGACACGGAAGTTGCCAGAAGGAAAAATTACAAGTGCAACGAGCGGATCATTTGCATGGAAGAAGCGGGTGACATTCGAAGCTTCTCAGGTTGGTGGAGACTGTGACCTCGCCGGAATGAGCGGGGTGGAGCTGGACCATGGTTTGATTAATTAATCAAGGTGGAGTTTGTTGGGATATTTGATTAAATAATCAAAAGAAACAAAAAAAGAAAAGAAAGAAATCAAAGGAAGATACACACATGTGATGATATCCTAAGTTGTGTGTGGATTTTTTTGATGGAAGGGAATCAAATTTGTTTTGGACTCTTGTGTTTGTGGTCATTTGCAGCAGTACTTCTCTTGGCTTTAAAAGCCATGCATGGTCTTCTTAGTAAGTATACACACGGCTAAGAAAGAAAGTAGGGTTAAAAGAGAGAGGTTTACACAAGATATCACCAACATTGTGTGAGTGAGTGTAGGGAGTAACTGGTTTTAGTTACTCGGAAAAATACATCCGGGTGTAGGGTGTGAAAAGTCTGTTTATAAGTGTCTGGTATTTAGCGCTTGTAATCAGGGAGAGTTTTTTGTGTATCGTTCTAAAAGAGTGAAGATATATTTTTTCTCTCATATTTTCTTCTCGTGTAGTGTGTTTATTTATTTTTCACGTTCTTGAAATCCCAACACACCACCCCCATCAAATTCAGTTTTTTTAGCCCCTATTTTTTTAAATACTCTTTTCGGGATTTTGAATCCCGTTCATCCCTCTCAGGAATTCCACGCCACACTTAAGAATTTATTCTCAAATTTTTTTCCTCATGCAAGACATTACCCACAAAATATACCACAAAATTAGAGACTCGATACTATAGATCTAAAAATAACTAATGGCATGGGCAGGACAAAAAAAGGTCTTAAACGTCTTATCCTTAATGCTCTAACGAATTAAATTATATAGAGCTCCGGCCTGAGACATTCCCATTTGTTCATCTCGTTGTCTATTTATAAGTTTTTAACTACCGAATAGGTGTTTAGAATTCATAGCTATTGAAATATTTTTTGAAATCAAATCCAAATTCAGAAATTTTAATCCTTCGTAAAATCAAATGCAAATTATAATTTTCTAAAAAAATGAAATAGGGCAAAATTTGAATAGAAAAACATCAAATCTAAAAAAATTATTCGTCCATATCAAATAAAAAACATATAGAACCATAAATTCATTCATATTTTGTAGCAATTAGCAAAGATTTCAAATTATTAATTAACAATTAACCTTAGATTTTAATTTTTAAAGTATTAATTTCTTAGAGAGTTTGAGTAAAGCCAAAGAATAAAAGAAAGCACGACATTGGCGAGAGTAAATGAAATGCCTAAAGTTCCCGCGACGGGTGGCGGGAGAAGATCTGGAAACTGGCCGCGAAGGCGAGGCTGATTTCCGAGTGGTGGATTGAAGGCACAGAAGGGCAGTCTCTGCCTCTCTGATGTCCGAAGGCAGAATCTTATCCTTAGCAGACCTGCTCCCGTCGAGCTCTACTACTAAGAAGCTGGGACATCATAGCGAAGGAATTGAACTTGACTTTAACCACAATACTTTTCATGTTTTTTATATTTCCATTTCTTTGTTTTTTATCTTTATTTCGTTTCTTCTTAATTATTTCTATTATTTGAGCATCACAATTTTGTAGTTTCGTTTAGTTTACTTTGGTATTTTTCATATTATATTGAATTGTTTATAGCATAACATTTGTTTTTTAATCTAGAATCTAAATTTATGTGTTTCTATCAGAATTTAAAAAGGTAAACTTATTAAAATAAATAAAAATTACCAAAAAAGTACAACCGTTGGGCAAATTATCATATCTAGCACAACCTTTGGTTTTTATCAATTAAATGCACCAAGTTTACTTTTCTGTAAACACACAGTCAATACAATGCGTTACAGATAACATAATGTCCAAGTAAACACTCAATCAGCCTTTTATTTACACATCACCAATAAATCTAAAGAAATTTCCATCTCTGTCCCAAAAAGATTGTCATAATTTAACTCTTTTAGAATCTTTTGGGCGTCAATCTAGAAATTTTTATTTATTCATCGTCCTAAAAGAATCCTACCCAAAACATCTCAATTGTTTGAATATAACAACATTTTTTATGTTCGAACATATATTTAAAAAATTTATTGATGAAGATAGTTTTTAATAAATGAGCACATGGCAATATGTTTTGATAAACAAAAGTTACTTGAACTTTTAAAAATAAATGTGCAATAAACTTGAAAGTTCTCTTTTGGTGGCAATAAGTAAAAAGAAAGTGATGATTAAAATCCGCTTGAACATTCCGTTTTCTCTAACGCCTAATGATGGAAACCGCTTTTTCGGGGCGTCGACTCGACAAACTCGGTACCGGGTCGGCACCGCACCGAATAGCGAAATCCGGAAATTAAATAAATAAATAAAGCGGAGAGAAAGTATTTATACGTGGAAACCCAATAGTAATAGGAAATGAACTTTGCCCCTCCATCTTCCGTCCCCCTCCTTGATGTATAAATGCCCATTATAAAGGAGAGTACATGCATGCATCCCCAACAATGCCTTGAGGTGGCCATGTCACTTCCATGTGCACATGTTTTGTATATGGGCTTCACTGAATATTTTTACATCACTTCAAATATATTTTTCTGTCCATATATCTCTGGTTCGGTATTGAATAATTTATCTGATTTATATCTTGGGCCAGATAAAATTGGGCTTTCTTGTACTGTTCAAATAATATTGGATTAGGTAAAATCCCTAATCCATCACATGCCCCCTAGTTTTGAGTCTGTCTCAGGGAACGAGACAGATTAAGAACTATATGACTCGGTGGGTTGCCTCATGGGATAAAACTTTCCTCGGTGCCTTGGGAAGAGGACCTTTTTTTGGAGGGTCTCGTTACCTCATGGGTAAGTATTTAACGTAGTGTGTTTTGGAGGAGGACTTTTCTTAGGGATTTGTGCTTCTTGGAAGAAGACTTTTCTCAGGGATTGAGCCTCTTGGAAGAGGACTTTCTCGGGGCTTAGTGCCTCTTAGAAGAGGACATTCTCGGGACTTTGTGCCTCTTTGGAAGAGGACTTTCTCGGGACTTTATGCCTCTTTGGAAGAGGACCTTCTCGGGGCGTAGTGCCTCTTGGAAGATGATTTTCTCGGGACTTTGTACCTCTTTGGAAGAGGACCTTTAGTGCCTTGGGAAGAGGGCTTGGTGCCTCTTGGAAGAGGACTTTTCTCGAAGATTTGGGCCTCTTAGAAGAGGACTTTATTGGGACTTTGTGCCTCTTTGGAAGAGGACTTGGTGCCTCTTGGAAGAGGACTTTCTTGGAACTTGGTTCCTCTTAGAAGAGGACCTTTCTTTCTTTTTAGTGCCTCGAGAAGAGGACTTGGTGCCTCGGGGAAGAGAACTTTTCTCGAGGATTAATACCTCCTAGAAGAAGACTTCTTGTTGGGAAACGAGGCTTGGATAACGCAGCGGAAAACAAAAATTTATAGTCCAAAACTCGATTCCACCCAAGAACAACTTACGTAAATTACTAGCTATAGTAAGAAATTTACCTTAACGGTGAAAACGGAGAACTTGCTCCGGAGTCCTAGATTAAACTTGTGCTAGCAAGTTTAATTTAGGCTAGTAAAAACTATAATAATACTACTTTGGGAGTAATAAATATATAGTAAAAAATATTTATCTTATAAATATTTCTTTATAATATTTTGTGTATATTTCTAACACTTTAGAAAAATAACTTAGAACACAAAATAATAATTTTCTCCTCTCTCTCTATGGCCGAAAATCACACATTAAAAATGGGGAGGGATACTCACACTTTATAATACAATGTATTAAGGAAATGCTAGGAAATTGCTTAAGGACAAAAACAAATTAGGCTTAATTCATTGTTCCCAACCAACACAACAAGACAAGTATACTTTTGTTAATCAAATATTTGATTATAAAATCAAATATATCATTAGGTGGAATATCAAAATATGTTTTGTATTTTTCCCCTTAGAATTTCGGCCATAGCATATTTGTAATATATCATATATTATTTTTACATAAATAATTATCATATAATTAAAATGATGAAAATTAAAAATTATATATATATATATATAGGGATTGACTCCAGTGAGATGACACTTTATGGTGAGATGACATGCTTCGGTGAGATGACGCAAAGCTCACCACATTACACTGCAAAGCTCACCAATGGCCAATGTAAAGCTCACCTGGAAATAAGGCAAAGCTCACTATTTTGAACACTAAAACTCATCTTTTTTTTTTATTTTGAAAATTAAAAAATTAATAAAAAATGAAATAGCAACACCGGTCAACCACCGGTCAGTGGCGGCGGCGGAGGTGGTCGCCGGCGGCGGCGGAGGTGGTCACCGGCGACCGGCGGAAGTCGGCGGAGGGCGGCGGTAGTGACGGAGTTTGCCGGTTGCTGGCGGCCAGCGGCGGTGGAGGTCGCCGGCGGCCAGCGGCGGAGGTCACCAGCAGCCGGCAGCCGGCGGCGGCAGGGGGTCGCCGGTGATGGTCAACAGTCAATGGTCAAAGTCCACTCAGCATCACTTACTTCGATTTTTTTTTCCAAAAAAAATTCAAAGTGTTGAAAAATTATGGTGAACTTTGCCTTACACTTTGGTGAGCTTTGTAGTTGTCCTTGGTGAGCTTTGTAGTGGGCAGTGGTGAGCTTTGTGTCATCTGCCCGTAGCATGTCATCTCACCGTAAGGTGTCATCTGACTGGAGTCAATCTCATATATATATATATATATATATATATATATATATATATATATATATATATATAATTTGTTTTGTCAAAATATAATTATCATATAATTAAAATGACACAAACAAAATATAATTTTAAAATACATATGTATTTTCGAAATACATACATACATACATACATATATATATATATATATATATATATAATTATCACAACTATATATTTAATATTACTCCCACTAGTGTAGTATACTACTCCCTTACAAGTCCTAAGTGTGTGACCCTTTAGGTATCCATAACACTAACAATGATATTAATATAAATTAATACCATAGATAATAAGCGGTATCTAGAAACACATTATTACCCCCAGATTATGAAAAAGACGTTCATCTCATCAATACCTTCTACGACACAAGACGTTCTATAACTATTATTCTTCTGTCCTAAATGTCATGATTTAACACAAGGCATGGGATGTGTATCCTTGTATAGTTAAATCAGATGTTACTGAATCTCAAGTAGACTGGCAGGGATCAGATATTTATCAGTCTCTGGATAGCGACAAATCTGGGCATGGCCATGCACTTTCCCAAGTCCTACTATTCAGTGGGCCCATTGACATTATACTTCTATACAGTAGAAGGGACATATCCTGTATCTGTTATTCACATCTCTAAATATGTTTAGCGGCATACCCAACGCATAACTGTACGTCTACCAGTATTTCAGATAGCATTAGTTATGAATCAAAGCATACGGCCCCACATATCAGAGAATGTAATAACTTCAAGTCTGGGGATAGTTATAGCAAGGTCGATTTTAGAATACTGATAAACACATTACTGTAGATCCATGCAGTATTCTCAAGATGGGTCAATCCAGTCACATATTATCGATATAATATGCACCTACATACAGGTTAAGATATCACAATACCTATAGTCTATGAGACGCAGCTATCTCATCTCGTACGTACTAGTCTTGATACGTTATGACGTCCGTATTATCATAAAGTGCGACTACGGATATTCTAGACATAGTCTTCGTCAAGAAGTAACAGTCTCATAATCAGAACATCGTAGTCCTCATCTATGTTACTGAAGCGCTATCGTCTATGGACTGAAGCTATGTTATGTTACACGAGATATAAAACATACTTCATGGCCTTTTATTCATGATAAAGTGTACAGTTACATAGGTATTTGATTGCCGCTAGGGAACCTAAATACAACAATCTCCCACTTGCCCTAAGGCCAATCAAGCATTTCTCGAATACCCATGGACCACGTATGACTCTTGTGTTTAGGCTTTCCCAAAGCCTTTGTCAACGGATCCGCGATATTGTCGTCTGTACCTATCTTGCAAATCTCAACGTCCCCACGTGCAACGATTTCTCGTATGATGTGATAACGTCTAACGATGTGTTTGGTCTTCTAATGAGACCGAGGTTCTTTCGCTTGTGCAATTGCCCCATTGTTGTCTCAAAACAACGGTATAGGGTTCTTGATGCTAGGAACCACTCCAAGCTTAGTTATAAAATTCTTGAGCCACACACCTTCCTTGGCTGCCTCGACTGCAGCCATGTACTCTGCTTATGTAGTGGAATCAACGGTAATATCTTGCTTGTAACTCTTCCAGGTAACAGCTCCGCCATTCAAACAGTCTAGATACCGCTTATTATCTATGGTATTAAATTATATTAATATCACTTCCAGTGTTATGGATACCTAAAGGGTCACACACTTAGGACTTGTAAGGGAGTAGTATACTACACTAGCGGGAGTAATATTAAATATATAGTTGTGATAATTTTATATATATGTATTTCGAAAATACATATGTATTTTAAAATTATATTTTCTTTGTGTCATTTTAATTATATGATAATTATATTTTGACAAA